TTTTAGTATCTCTAAACCAAGTATCAGTATATGGACAATTTCCATTTATTCATATTAGCTAGAGTACTTGATTACCTTGTGTAATACGAGGATAGCTAGAGTAGTTGATTACCTGATGGTTACCTTTTCAATTCTGTTAGCCAAAACCAAATAATATTAATAACATGTTCCACACTGTTGCTGGATGTTAAACACATGTTCCTGGAATGTCAGATATGATTGAGAAACCTGTGTGTCATTAAAAACCTAAAACTTTCTCAAATTGCAATGAAAATGATACTGCAGGTTTTAAAAGTGCATAAACATCAGTGCTTCTATCCATCATAAAGGCTGTCAATAACTTCCTAATACCTTCAATAACATACTCATTCTTGTGGAAGGTGTTTGCTTTGCCTGCTTTAACATCAATACGGTTCTACCCAGAAAACAAAAAAAGTGCTCTTTACATTGTATTCATATTGCTTGATTTTCTTTTCTTCTGGTATAAATTTTTATTGCTATCATTTGGTTTACACAACCCCACTCCGCTGTTAATAGTACTTTCATGTTTTTATTTATCCAAGACCAAATATACTGGATAAAAGGCCAACTACAACTTAGAGAACATGGACCAATTCCTTACTACATCGGATGTAGTACTTGTAACCGCAAATTTGACTTCAATGAGGGAACTACCTTTGACTGCATGCAGTGCGGAGACAATACTGCAACAACTGCAAAAAGGTTTCTACTTTTATCATCTACAATTATTCTGGTTACAAACTTCTGTTGTCACCTTTCCCAAGGTCACTGGAAAAAGGAGATTGGTACGGAATGGATGTATATCTCCACATAACATAGCGTAGGCCAAGCAGCCAGTTGGGAAGGATGACAGTGGTTTCTTAACTGTTGAACATAGTTGTACCAGTTTTCCTGCAACATCAAGCAGTTCAAAGAATCTATCTAATGTTATAAATTTGGTGTCGGAATAAACCCCAACGATATGGCTTGTGTATGATTTGTTTTTTTTGTCTCTATATGTCAATAAAATTGACTATAGATGTGAAATTTGAAAGAATGGTCCTGAAATTTTTAAAAGGGTTAACATGCATCACTGTTGGTACATGGTTGAAATCACATCACAATGCTGATTGAATGGGTAGTCCACAAATCAGATCACATTGTGGATGAGTATGTTTTTTGTTTGCTCCCAGTGAGTTTATGTGAAGTTCTCCAAATAATGTGCATCTTCATTGTGCCAAAAGGAGTTCTTTTTTCTGTTTTCATTGAGATATTCAAGTTCAGATTTATTTTGTAGTGAAAATCAGATGTGCAATGGGGTATATCAATTTCTTTTGTCTGGTACATGTAATTGAAATTCATTCGTGCTACCTGTTGCATACTACTTAGAAGATGTGCTTCCTACTTCAGTAATTTAAAAGTCAGTAGCTTAAATTTAATTTAGATTATGACTCTTATCATGTTGTTGCTTTAATGCTTTATTGTAATTGCTTACAGAAATATTGTGGTTATTGATGATGAAATGGCTAAACCTGATGGTGCCAATCAGAATATTGTCAGAAGCTTTGAAGAGGCTGGATGGAGAAGTACACGAAATCGAAGTCAGAGCAAGTCGTTACAAAGAGAAAAGGAAAGAGACTCCCAGAGTCATCAAAATAGTAAAGACTGGGATGGGAAACAAAACGGAATGTACCGGATTTTTAGCACGTACAACCATCAAACCAGAGACCAAAGCAGGGCTCGACAAAACAGAAAGTATCATACCGTCCTTCCCTTCAATCTATTACGACCAGCACGGTTGTTCGTATTTCCTTTTTGTTTTACAAGGCAAACTGCACTGACGTTACGGTCTTCTGAATACTTTGGTCTTCAACGAGTGGAAGGAAACCCCGCCCCGATTGAGATCGTCTCGAAGCTTCTCCAACGATACCCACTTCTCCATCTTAGTTGCTGGTATCTTAGGATATATGTAAGAATTGGAACTATGCTTTTACTCTTATCAAATGGACGCATGCTTGGGCACCCACGCACATAGTGCGTTCCCAGCTAGTAATGAGATAAGGAAGTACTTGATCTAATGGTCCAGAATCATTCTCATTTCTTTCAAAAGATCTTATTCTCACCGGAACCAAATTATATATATATATATATATATATATATATATATATATATATATATATATATATATATATATATATATATATATATATATATATATATATTGGTGGTCCCAAAGTGGTGAGATACAAAGTCTAGAGGGGGGGGGTGAATAGACTTTGTTACAAATTTAAAATCTTTTTCGTTTCTTTTGAAAAGCGTGAAAATAAGTGTTAATCTAGAGTTCTTGAGAACTTTAGATTGTGTGCGGAATTTGGTGGGTAGAGTGAGCAGTAATCAATATGGATGGGTTAGTTTTCACAGTTAATGTAATTGCAAGTTAGAGTAAAGATAAAAGAGAGAGACACGCAAACTTTAACGAGGTTCGAAGGTGGGGTAATCCTTCTACGTCCTCAAA